CGCCAGATCTTGTCCCCAACGCCCCATAGCCTGGAAGCCTGGGCCTTCTGACCTCTCCTGGCCAACTATTAGATATGCTGGTCCAGCCTCGCGTCCAGGTTCCATCTAGATGGCTTTGCCCTTCTGAGCTCTCTTCACTCCATCTAGCCAATTTGAACATTGCCACCAGCGTCCTCCTCCGCCCCCCCATCACCTTGTTTCTAACAGTAGCCTCCTTGTATAGTGTTCTTTGATATTGTTTACTTCCCCTTAGGATTCCACCCCATCACCCCTTAAACTTATCACACTTCTATCCAGCTATTGAGTCTCTGTGGCTGCTGTGTGTTCATAGTTGTGTCCTCCTTCACTTGGCCACTCCACTTTTTGTCAGTTGTAGATCATGCCTCCCAGTCTACTGTTGCCTCAAATTCAAAGGCTGCCCCTGAGGCAGAGTCAGTGCTGCGACCTCTCTACATGGATGTTCAAGCTACCACGCCTCTGGTAAGAATATAGCAGCAGCTTTTCCTAAGGCTGTAATAGCAAGTACTTATTAGAAGTGAAAATGCATAGAAAGGATGGATCAGCTGTAGAGGTGAGAGCCTTTGAGGTGTTTTGGGAAAAGGAATAGAGCCAGGAGTTAGGAGGCTTAAATTCTTATTCATATGCTAAATATCTGATCCCCTTCTCCAGTATTAGTGCAAATTTTCAACTATGTGTCAGAAGAGATTTTTCCCTGCTATCATGCATGTCCCAACTCCTCATAAATCACATTGCTGGTGGAAATGCAAACATCTGCAGAAACAGTAGTCAGAACAGTGTTTACTACCTGAGGGGACAATAGAACAATCTGATTGAAGATGGGTTGGGAGTGGGAGTATATTAGGTTGATATTTAATTAATAGAACCTAGGCAGTGATGAAGGGTTGGGAGTGTGTTGAGGCAGGGTGGGCAGGTTTGGAAATGTAGTGGGGCCTGAGTTGACTGTGGACTCAAGGTGACTCATCTGTTGTGTTGTGCTCAGGACCCCCGGGTGCTTGATGCCATGCTACCATACCTCATTAACTTCTATGGGAATGCACACTCTCGGACACATGCTTATGGCTGGGAGAGTGAGGCAGCCATGGAACGTGCTCGCCAGGTTAGTACAGAGGAGTCTGGGAGGTTACAAGGTCACAGGTTCTGTGGCCTGTGGGAGATATTTCCTTAGTAGGTGGAATAGAAGTAGAAATAATTTGGGGATTAGTCTTGGTATCTGGGTTGTGTGACTCACACCTATAATCCCAGTGGCTCTGGAGGCTGAGGCAGGAGGCTCTACAGTTCAAAGCCAGCCTCAGCAATTTAGTGAGGCCCTAAACAATTTAAGTGAGCCAAAATAAAATTTTTAAGAAGGGCTGGGAATGTGGCTTAGTGATTAAGGTACTGAGTTCAAACCTTGGTGCCAAAAAAAAAAAAAAAATCCTGAAATTATTATTTGGGTTCTTTCTTTCTAGAAGAT